ATAAGTTCCATCTTAAAAAGCATCTCAAAGTTGTGTAAGATGATCAGTTTTCAAGTTTCTCGTTTATTACATAATTTTTGATTCTTACCGAATAACCAAAAAGAGAACGGCTCAAGGCTGCTTGCTGTATCTAACGGTAAATTGCCGATGGCGGCTCCTAGGATTGGCGCAGGCAAAAAATGCAAGAAGGCAACTGCAACAAGTGACTTCTGGGTTTTTCGGTCCAAATACTCGCTCGGATTTGGGTCCCGCAGTTCTGCTGGTCAGGGTCGCCACGATAGTTGTTCACATAGCGTGACCGGAGTGTCGGAAAGAAAGCGATCCATTGCATAAATACTTTCTCGTCGAATTCTCGGTCATACAAATTGATATGTTTCCAGTTACCCCCGTGAGCAAATGTTTGACATTGTTGCCGATGTCAGAGAATATCGCCACTTTATACCGTGGTGTCGACGATCAGATATCATTGAAGTGCAAGGAAACGCTCGGATAGGAGAACTAGAAATTGGCTTCCCGCCACTAAACGAGAGTTATCGATGTCGAATTATCGTGCTTCGACCGTCAGTCGTTCACGTGGGTTCTACAATTCTTCTATTTAATTATTTATGTGGAATTTACACGATTAAAATCTTCCCGAAACCGCCCAGTAAGTGTATGAGCGCGGTGTTTTAGCTTTTGTTCTGTTCACATTGACAAAAGGCAAAGTCCGCGATCATTCTTCATCGCAGATAAAGGATTAGGGGCTCGCATGTCGACGACAAGCTTCTGAGTGATCCTATAGTGAATGCCCGTGTCCTATTGAGAACTTCATAACTTCGTTAAAGAAATTCTCTTGAATAAGACCTGTAGCAGGGCATACCGAGTAATCTCGCGTTTGTGATATTTAGTTCTTAAATATCGAGCAGAGGAAGCTTACAAGGGAGGTCGTTCAGGGCGTGGTGAGCTTTTTCAAAATGGTCTTGTGCATATTGTAGGGGCACATACGAGGACCAGAAAACTGAGGTTCATTTTCGCTGCGCGCTTCTACGAATAAAAAACGTAAAAAATAGGTCGATGGTTCGGATCCCACCGAGGACAAAATTTTGCTTTTCTACAATTTTTCATTTTTTGGATCCATGTTTGTCTAAATAATTGGTCCTAACAAAAACATTCACGATAAACTGAACAATCCTACTTTTATGGAGCAAAACTGCTTTTTCGTTCGAATTCGTTAGTATGCACAGACTCAGCTCTTCGGCGCTATGCCGGTGCCAGATGGCACTGGAACCGAAAATAAAGTCTAGAATCGTGATCAGGACTGTCGATTACCCCTAGGAGCAAGTTTTGAGCGAAAAATTTTTTTGACTTTTTCGGGTTGTAGGTGACCGACCATTTGGTCGGCAGTGTGAGCGGAGTCTCACATCTTCGTAACAGCGATGACGCTCGGACCGGCAACGCCAATAAGCAAACCCAAGAAGGTCAAAACAACTTTTTTGACGGAAAATTCGTTTTTAGTGGTAATCAATGGCCCTAATCACAAATATAACACCTATTCTTGCGTCACTGACAATTCGGCGACAGAATAGCGCGGAACGTTCCGTATAGTGGTGTACATAACGAATCAGTGGAAAGAAGATGTGGCCCCAAATTGTCTATAGTTGGCACCACACCAGAAGTTACTAAATTCGCAATCAGATCCACTGTATAGCCATGAGGATCAACGTTCCAGCACAATTTGTTCAATGGTGTGGTGAAAATCGAATAGTTGACGAAATAGCAAATCTAATAGTTGAATAGACTGACTCATGGGAGGTATAGCTACTTCAGGCAAATGGTGGCCCATAAATGGCAAAATATCCGTATGTGTATTTCTGCGCGACACAAATGGAATGTGAAAACAGCGGAAATCTAAAAATGCAAAAAGCCATCGACGCCAAACGGGAGCCGACCAATCAACCCTGCCTCTTCACTGTCCGATTGTTGACGGCTCCACTCTATCTTGCTTGAGAAAAGCGGTTACTCACGCGTTTGCAAGAAGCTGTCCACCCTTGAGCACGTGACTCAAGTTGGAAGCTCACTTGCGGCGATTTTTCGCTTCGATTCAAATAGCCCCTTTATAGCCCCCACTCAGCAACTGGTCAAATTTGCAAGTGACGTACGCCGTATAGAGGCCCAGAACGAAGCAGATTCCGAAGATTTCTTTTCACTCGTTTTTTACCTTTCCTGGAAGCGCGCAGCGAAAATGAAGCACACTTTTCAGGTCCTTGCATGAGCCCCTACAATATGCAAAAAACGTTTTCGAAAAGCGCACCACGCCCTGAACGACCTCCCTTGTTAGTCTTATACCTAGTGTGGAGCCTAAAGAGGGAGACCTAGTAGAGGACCTAAAGAGAGAGAGAGAGAGACGAAGCGGTGGGAGAGAGACGATAGAGAGCTGAGGAGAGAGAGAGATTAGGAGAAGAAGGAGGAGACGGAGAGAGAGAGTAGAGTAATCTTCATCACCAATTGTGTCACAACTGGTTAATCTTCTTTGTATTGTCTGAACAGCTTTTGAATTTTGAACTAAATCTGTTTCAGTCCATTGTGATTGGTGAATCAATATTCAACACATTGGAGACGTCTTTCAAATTTGCAAAAGTTAGCAACTACTCCTGCATATTGCACTATGATCTAGCCTTCGAATTTAAGTCGCGACTGCACTCTCAAATGGCGTACCTGTTTTTCGATAGAGGTACGAGTTCTTCTCCAAAACTTGTAGGAGCTCACCTAGTTGGAGGAGTTTACCTCGGAGGGAGCTCCTCCGTGTTCTCTTCCCAAGCGAGGCTTGGCCTTGGAGCGTGGACCACTACACTCACCTCACCTAAGGGTAGGTCGCACCAAGACGAAGCGTCCATCGAGCCTGACAATGAGCTCATGCTAGGGAGAGGAATACGGAGGCGTCGCCGAATGGTCCTCCTCAGCGGCAACTTTTCTAATACCATTTAACAGTAGAAACCCATCTTTTGACTCATAATTTCCTAGTAAAGCTTAAAAACATCCATCTGTTGCTTGACGAATTCCCAATAATATTTGAGAACATCTATCTTTTAATTCATCAGTTTCCAATAAATCTTGAGAACATAATCCGCGATTATCTGGCGGATGAAATTCCTTCTTTATGCAAGCAATCAGGTCCTTAACTGCAGATATTGTATTACTTTCGCAACCATGTTTCAGAGTACGGTCCTTCTTCATATTTCTCCTCATTAATGATCGCTTGCCAATTGCAGGGCTTATCACGAGCACTCTCCTCAATAACATGAGCGCTCACCATTTGTATTGAATACGGGCAGCCTAGTTTGTCTTAACATCCTAGAAATTCGTAAATGGTGAAGCAGCTACCTGTCGGTGGCTCTTATCAATCCTCATTGGCATACAACTTTCGGCGTTCTTTTTTGTCGAGGCTCAAGAGTTTAGCGGTCGAATCGTTTTCACTATATCGCCTAAAGGATATAAACATGTCGACTCACTAAGGTTTCCCTCATTGGATTCGTGAACTAAGGTGGTCGCAGTTCAGTCGCAAGGAATTCACAGATGCGATTAAAGATTAACTCTGGAAGCGGATATTGAACTTATCTTCCGCAATCAATGCCCCAGCCATCACTGAATTACTTGTTGGAAGCAGTCCCCCACTGTTGCTACAACTAGTGCTCAGGATTTCAGGAGCACCCTCTTTAAAAAGGATCCTATGCTATCTTATCTACTCTTTACACTTTAGGCAGGGCGCTCATTTGTTGTTAGTTAGAGCGGCGGGAAAGAATCCGAGTTGGGTGTCCATTTCCGCTGGCCGCACTCGTGCTCATAGGTGGTTCTGCTTTCCTTTCTTACCTTTTCTATTAGGACTAGGATTCACAGACAGTCAAAAGCAGTCCGTTTTGCAAGGTAAGACGCGTTCTGTTTACCAACGTTGTACTTGCATTGGTGCAGTAATCAGGGTACAGCATCGTTGTGTGAAAACGTAGGGGGGAGTCGTATTTACTTGTTGTTGGGAGAGAGAGGGGAGGTCGTATGTGCCTTTTAGAGCAGTTTGCCAATTTGGCGATGTTGGAAAAAAAATCTTCTCGGTTGTTGATTTTCTAGTATA